ACATGTATGATTTTGGTGTTAAGTGTTAATGTTATTGGTTATGCTTTGTATATACTAATGGGAGCGTAGAAAGTAATGGGAGCGTAGGAAGTAATGGGACTCTGGCTTTGTGTAGTTGATTAATCTTTGATTGTATTTGTTATAGTTTGTTGAGTAATGAAGTATTTGTATTGCTTGATATGCTTTGTAGATACCACGGATGAAAGACATACTTACACAATCAAGATGTACTATGCGGGAGATTCGGTGCATGAACCTGTGGTTCAATAAAAGAATGGGAGAGCACAGTATTTTGATTACTTCAATGGAGAGGAGGCAAGTATCTCAGAGTTAAGAAAGTTAGTCAAGAAGCTACGGTTCTGCTCTAAGAAGGTTATCTTTTGGTTGAAATATGGTTCTGGGAAATTTCTTAGCTTGAGAAGAATAAAGACAGATGAAGACCTATACAACATTTGTTATGAGCTTCCACAAAATAGAGAGGTAGAGATCTTCGTGGAGTATATGAATGAGGATCAATGGAACTACGTCGTGAATGTGTCTTCTTTCATTCCAGATGTGCTGGAAGAGATGGATGACTATAATGATGACAACAACTCAACTTCTACTTCAAAGGGAGAGACATTTGAAGATAGCATGTTTTCCGGTGGAGGTGAAGATAAAGTTAAAGGCAGTGCCACCAGTGCCATGAACAACAACCATGACAATGAGTTTGTAGAGTGGGGAGTGGAAGACTTGGAAGACAATGTGATATTTTTTTGAATAATTTATGTGAGTCCTGGAACAACTCTATATTAAATTTTATGGACAAGAGCATTTTAACCACGTGTGAAAGTCTTAGGATTTACTTGATGGTGGTGAGGATGCAACAAAACAGAGATAAGATGAGAGAGAGTCCACTACAAATTTGCCCTAAAATTCTCAAAAAAGTGTGGAAGAAGCAAATGATAGGGCAAATGAATGAATTGCCTACAAAGCTACAGATGGTATATGTAACACCGTCCCCAAATGTATTTACTTTCAAGTAAATGATGTAATAAACCTTATGGAATGATTTACGAATTTACGAAGTTGTAAATTTTTATTATTCTTTCGCGTGAATAGTAAAGTGCACGTGGGGCCCACACCGGGAGCGGGGGCCGCCCGACATTCCCGAGACCATATACTTTATTCATCTTGGTCTAGATAATAAATATATAGTGGTGAATATTTCATTTGGACCATGGAAAGGCCCAGAGTTGACCGATTCGTCAAAAGAAGCCCAAATTACCGGTACTGGTAATTTAACAGATATCAGCCCGAAAATGAATTTCGGAGACTTCTAAATCAATGTTTTGGAATATATATTATTTCAAAAGGCCATTACGATTGAGAACACGTAATATACTTTATTTTACCCGATAAAATAAAATATGATTAAAACAGTCCGAAAAATACAACTTTCGGGACCGATTGTACACCTCGGGGCATAAAGGGATGACCTCCCACATGAGTGGGGGCCATCCCACGTTTTTTTTCAGCTTAAATGTGACTCTTGGTGGCTGGCAAGACAAAGGAAGGGTGAGGAGTCTATCAAAGGTACAATGGGGGGGTCCATTCTCACATTATTTTGAGAGAAAAGCCAAAGAGGCTATCTCTTCACTCACCCACCCCATAATTTCGACCAAGGCACACCAAGAGAACAAGGAGACCTCTGCAAACTCATCTTCCATAGCCAAAATTCGAGCTCAAGCCATAGGGTTCCAAGAAGGAAGATTAAAGAAGGAAAAAGCTAGGAAAAAGTGTGAAAATTAAGGTAATGACCTTATTATAACTTTTCCTTTATTTTTCTTCTATCATATGAGGTATATATCATATGAAGGACCCTTAGTATGATTCCACATGTTATAAGTATGGATTTATGGGTTGGAAAATGGTTCTAAGTCCAAGAACGGACTTAGAAGCCAAAACGACCGGTTCACCGGAAAATAACCTTTTTTGAGGTTATTTGTATTAACATGGGTTTTATGATTATAAAACCTTGTTAGGAACTTGTGAAAGGTATTTCAAGTGATTTCACAAAGTTGGAAAAGTCGCCGGAGTTGTCGCCGGAGTTGGCCAAAAGTCGCCGGAGTTCCACCGGAGTTCAACCAAGAAGGGTAGAACTTCATAACGCTAGTTCAAGGTGAGTGGACGGCTTAATATCTTATAACTTTTGGGTTAATTATAAGATTACCTAAATAAATGTTATAAGTGTTCATAATGATGTTTAAAAGATATTTAAACACGTGATTAGCCAACATAGATAAGTTTGTATGAAAAGAATTAATTGTTTATACATGAAACATGATATGCACAAGAATTAATGATGATATGAGAAATAATATGAAATGCATATTTGTTGGGAATGTCAAAGAAGCACAAATGATTATTATTAACTTAATTATATGATGATTAAGTTGACATGTACAAGGCTTGAATGGCGGTCAACGACAACGTTGACCGATGGACAATGGATTAATTAATGTCGGTTGATATTAGTTAATTGTACATTTATATAATTGCATGGATTTGCATGAATTGTGATACATAAGTCTTATGTATTGAATTAGTTATGAGTGACTAAATATGATATAGACCCTATCTAGTGTGATATGTGGTAAGTCATAGGTCGGGTGGAGTACCCAAGGATCGGGCGGTTATCCTCAAAACTCGGTTATAGGGTGGAGAACCCAAGGATCGGGCGGTTATCCTCAAAACTCGGTTATATAGGGTGGAGTACCCAAGGATCGGGCGGTTATCCTCAAAACTCGGTTATATAGGGTGGAGTACCCAAGGATCGGGCGGTTATCCTCAAAACTCAATTATAGGGTGGAGTACCCAAGGATCGGGCGTGTATCCTCAAAACTCATAGATTACATTTAATGATCTAGGACCGGGCGGTGTCCTCATGATAATTTATTTGAACAAGGAGGAGTTCTATACACTCATAGGTATATGGGTGGGTTGGGATTTAAGTCAAGGATATTGGCTACTATTATTTTCCCAAATAAACAATGACCTACGGGTCGGGTATTTCCAAGTGTATGTATACTAATATGTATTTCAAACTTGGGGGAAAGACTATACGTATATGTATCATCCTATGTTTGGGTCTTATACTTGAAACGCTAGTTATTCTATATTTAGCCTGCTACTCGCTCGGTACTTGTACTGACCCCTTCGGGGGGCCCCACCATTTTCAGGTTGAAGCTAGGGCTTGCTACCTGCACCTTTCTACGGGTGACATCAAATCAAGGAAGACGTGGTTCGTGCTTCCTCATTTCATTTCAAATTACCAAACACTGCTCATGGATATTTTTATTTGTCATAAACTATTCTTTTGGGGCTTGCATGCCCATGTTATTGGCCGGTTGTGGCTTATGACTACCGTTGAATACTTCCGCTATTCATTGGTTTAAATGTGATGTTGTTATGTATGTTTACTGCTGAGTATGGATGGATTATTTCTCTCGAACGCCTTGTGTAATCAAGTGAGGTTGACTCGCGGGTGACGTCACTTGATTATACGGCGGTTGTACACGCGCTTGGATTGCGGTCTGGGGCGTGACAATTAAGTGGTATCAGAGCCATCTCAGTTCTAAACTATATAATCAACCTCTCACATGAGATTTTATGAAAGAGTTTTTACCGAAAACCATGAGCATTGGATTTTGACGTTATGGGACTATTGGAGCCTAAGTTGCAAGGCCTCTAATTGTTAAGACGGTACCCTTAACAATTGGTATGGTGGTGACTTAGACCAATACGTGTCTGTAACGTTCTTCCGTCAATTGACATTTATAGGAGTCTAATGACTCATCCATATTTCTTTCAGAAATGGAGGGCAGGCGAATGCGGACCAGGAACAATCCGAGGGGGCAGGCGCCGGTAACATCCCAAAGGGGAAGCCGGGCTGCATCTCGGGGTTCAAGAGGAGGCCGTGGAGGCCGTGGAAGCCGTGGAGGTCATCAAGCTCAAACTGTGAGTGATGGCCATGTAAGCTCGGTGTATGAAACCAACACCGAGGACTATGACTCTACGTATGTTCCTGAGACAGAGCATGAGGAGACCCCATATGATGGGGGTGACACATACACCGATGAGGACAATGATGAAAGTGATGCCCGCTTCGCCCAAATGGGTGAATTACTTGAGTGGTATCAAAAGGAGAAACAGAGGAGAGACCTTAGGCGCCAAGCGAGGCGTGGCTCTCGTGGTGGTTCGGGTCAAGGGAGCCGGGGAGCTTCCGTGGCCACCCCAGCGGCGTCACAAGGGGGGCGTGAAGGAGGTTTTGTTGTGAGAATCTCCAAGTACCTCAAGGAGGCTAGGGCCTTGGGGTGTAGGTCCTTTGACGGCACCGGTGACATTACCGTTGCCGCCGATTGGATTAAGAAGGTGAAGGATGCATCAAGAGACATGCAAATCACACCGGACGTGAAGTTGACTGTCGCTTCACGGCTACTTGAAGGGATAGCCTCTACGTGGTGGGAGAGTGTGGAAGGGAAGTACCATGGGGAAATAACATGGGCGGACTTTGAGCTAGAGTTCTATGCTCAATACTACTCCGAGTACGAGGTGAATGTGAAACGGAGAGAGTACACTAACCTCAAACAGAAAGATGGCGGCACGGTTAAGCAGCTGGAACAAGAGTTTAGAACCTTGGCGAGGTTCTTGCCAGAGTACGCGGTTGATGAAAACCGCATGACGGAGCACTTCTGGGATGCATTACTCTTGGACATCCGCGACCGAGCTACATACTCTCGCCACATGTCATTTAGCGAGGTGGTGGAACAGGGTCTTCTTGGAGAGGCCCAGTGGAATGAGAGGAAAGCAAGGGACGCCGAAGAGGCGAAGAAGAGGAAGTGGAATAATTCGGGACCACCCGATCATTCTCGAAGAAACAACCACGGGGGTGGTGGTGGTGGCGGTGGTTCATTCAAGGCGCCGGCCCCACCGGCAAAGAAGAACAGGGATGCGAGGTGGCACGGACCTAGGCCACAGAACTCGGGGCCACCTAGATGTCCCAATTGCTCAAAACAACACTTTGGGAAGTGCAATGAACCACCGAGGTGTTTTAAGTGCGGGAATGCGGGCCATATGAAGGCCAATTGCCCTCAATTGATGCAAGAGAGTGCCTCGGGAGCCGGGGGAGGGACCATGACGGGAAGGAACCGTGCGGGACCGTCAAACGGCGGCACGGGAAGAGGCGGCGCATCCACAAGTCATGCCGCATCCGTCAACCAAGGTGGGACCCAAGCCCGAGTGTACGCGATGACCGAGGCGGATGCGAGAGCAAACCCGGACTCCGTTGCAGGTAATACACGTATTCCCATGTATTTCTAGGCTTATCTGGGTCATACGAGTCATTGGGTTTGGGTGCGGGCCACCCCGGGGTCAAACCCCGCGAATTCGGAGCGAAATGGGCTAAAAACAACTACGCGCGGTCGCGCGTACCTACAGACGCACGACCGTGCGTGCGAGGCAGCAGCCTTTGGCCATTTTCCGCGCAGACGCACGCCGTGCGTGCAGGTAAGGCACGCCGTGCGTGAGACGCACGATCGTGCGTGACCAGCTACGCACGATCGTGCGTAGCCGGCAGTGGCGGGTTTCGATTTTCTCACTCACGCACGACCGTGCGTGCCACCCAGGCACGCCGTGCGTGGACCCCCAATAGCCGAAACTTGATTTTTTCGCCCCGTTCTTCTACGTTTGGACCCCCGTTTGATTCCAAACATTAGTATGAGCCTAATAACCTCCTAAAAATGTGTAAAAACATTAGAAAATGTATCTTACATGGTGTATAAATGTAGGAACATTAAAGATCAATGGTAGGTGTGCGAGGATCCTCATTGATACCGGGGCACAACGCTCATTTGTGAGTGAGGCGTTCGCCGAGGGCCTTGACGTGCCATTGACACCTATGACTCAAACGTTGCTAGTCTCCACACCGTTAGGAGACGACGTGGAGAGAAATCATTACTATCCGTCGTGTGAGGTAGAAGTGACGGGTCAACCTTTGACTTGTGATTTCGTACCTCTAAGCATGTTGGAGTTCGATGCAATCCTAGGAATGGATTGGCTCGAGAAACACCATGCTCGAGTAGATTGCTACACCAAGGTGTTAGAGCTCGAGGATGATCAAGGAAACACGCTATGTTTCGAGGGAGATCGGGGGAAATCTAATGCTTGTATAATATCCGTGATGAGAGCACGGAAGATGATGAGGAAGGGATGCCACGCATACCTTGCCTACGTGGTGGACGATACCAAGAAGGAAGTCGACATCAAAGATGTACGGGTCGTGTGCAAATACCCGGATGTCTTTCCCAAAGACCTACCGGGGCTTCCACCCGATAGAGAGATAGAGTTTGTAATTGAAGTAGAGCCGGGAACCAAACCCATTTCGATTCCTCCTTATCGAATGGCGCCGGCCGAACTCCAAGAGTTGAAGGTCCAACTACAAGAATTACTGGACAACGGGTTCATCAGACCCAGTCATTCACCGTGGGGGGCACCCGTACTCTTCGTGAAGAAGAAAGATGGTACACTAAGAATGTGTATCGACTACCGACAGTTGAACAAGGTCACCATCAAGAACAGGTATCCCTTACCGAGGATTGATGACTTGTTCGATCAACTTCGAGGGGCAATAGTGTTCTCGAAGATTGACTTGAGGTCGGGGTATCATCAGTTGAAGATCAAGGAGAGTGACATACCTAAGAGTGCATTTCGCACTAGATATGGTCATTACGAATTCCTTGTGATGTCGTTTGGTTTAACCAACGCACCGGCGGCATTCATGGACTTGATGAACCGTGTATTTAGTGAATACTTAGATCAATTTGTGATAGTATTCATTGACGACATCTTAATATACTCCAAGAGTGAAGAGGAGCACGAACATCACTTGGGGCTTATACTTGATCGACTAAGGGAAAAACAACTCTTTGCCAAGTTCTCTAAATGCGAATTTTGGCTCAAGGAGATTGGTTTTCTCGGTCACGTCATATCCGGTTCGGGCGTTGCTGTGGATAACGCCAAGATAAAGGCTATCATGGATTGGGAGAGACCCAAGAATGTGAAAGAGATACGTAGTTTCCTTGGCTTAGCAGGATACTATCGTAAATTTGTTGAAAAATTTTCTGTATTGGCGTCTCCATTAACGAAGCTCACAAAGAAAGGGGCCAAGTTCATATGGGACGACAAGTGTGAGAAAGGGTTCCTTGAACTGAAGAAACGACTTACCGAAGCACCAGTCCTTGCCCTACCCATACAAGGGATAGGGTATGATATATACAGTGATGCTAGCATCCAAGGGCTTGGATGTGTACTGATGCAAAACGGTAAAGTGATTGCCTATGCTTCAAGGCAATTGAGAAAGCACGAGGTGAACTACCCTACCCATGACCTAGAATTGGGGGCGGTAGTGTTTGCACTGAAAATCTGGAGGCATTATCTCTACGGGGAGACATGTCACATTTTTACAGACCATAAGAGCTTGAAGTACGTATTCACTCAGAAAGAGTTGAATATGAGACAGAGGAGATGGATGGAGTTGATCAAGGACTATGACTTGATCATCGATTACCATCCAGGAAAGGCCAACGTCGTGGCCGACGCACTGAGCAGAAAGAGTACGTCGGGGACGCTACTCACATGCCTACAGGCATTGAGAGCGCGCGTGGAGGTGTCCACGTGCGGGGCTCTCATTGCTCGATTCGAGGTTAGGCCCACCCTATTGGGCGAGATTAGTCGAAGTCAGGCCATTGATGAGGAATGTCAGAAGATCCGTGAAAGGATCCTTGAAGGACCCGTTGAGAACTTCCGAGTACGTGATGACGGTCTATTATTGTTTAAGGATCGTGTATGCATACCAAAGAATGAAGACCTCCGGAAGTCCATACTTGAGGAGGCTCATTCTTCAGCTTATGCTATGCATCCAGGAGGTACTAAGATGTACCGAGATTTGAAGGAGAGTTACTGGTGGTCAGGTATGAAGAGAGACATCGCAGAATATGTGAGTCGGTGCCTTACTTGCCAGCAAGTTAAGGCAGAGCATCAGCACCCGGCAGGGCTTTTGCAACCACTTACCATCCCGGAGTGGAAGTGGGAGCACGTGACCATGGACTTCGTGGTGGGGCTACCACGAACAGTGAACAACTATGACGCAGTATGGGTAGTGGTTGATAGGCTCACCAAGAGTGCACACTTTTTGCCTATCAACATTACTTATCCTCTTGAAAGATTGGCCAAGCTATACACGGAGGAGATTGTGAGACTACATGGAGTCCCAATATCCATTGTCTCGGATAGGGATCCACGATTCACATCCCGATTTTGGCCAAAATTTCAAGCATCGTTGGGTACTAAACTGAAGTTTAGCACAGCTTTTCACCCACAGACGGATGGACAGTCCGAACGAGTGATACAGATTTTGGAAGACATGCTTAGGGCATGTGCGCTGGAGTTCCAAGGAAGTTGGGACAAGCATTTGGCCCTAGTGGAGTTTGCTTATAACAACAGTTATCAAGCAAGTATCGGCATGCCCCCATATGAGGCATTGTATGGGAGGAAATGCAGAACACCATTGTGTTGGGACGAGGTTGGCGAGGCCAAACTCGAAGGTATAGAACTGGTTGAAATCACCAAAGCTAAGGTGAGGATCATTCAGGATAGACTGAGGGCTGCTCAGGACCGACAGAAGAGTTATGCTGACAAACGGCGGAGACCGTTGGAGTTCGAGGTCGGTGATGAGGTTTTTCTAAGGATTTCTCCTTGGAAGGGCATCATCCGATTTGTATCGAGGGGGAAGCTTAATCCCCGATACATTGGTCCATTTGAGATCCTTGAAAGGATTGGGGCCGTGGCTTACCGCCTCAAGTTGACACCAGAGCTTGAGAAGATACATGACGTGTTTCATGTATCGATGCTCAAGAAGTACATACGGGACCCATCTCATATTCTTGAGAAACCACCGGTAGAGATCCGTGAGGATTTGCAATATGCGGTAGAGCCGGTGAAGATAGTAGGTCAACAAGTGAAGAAGCTTAGGAATAAGGAGATTCCTATGGTAAAGGTTCTTTGGAGGAGTGATCGAGTCGAAGAAGAAACTTGGGAGACCGAAGTCTCAATGAGGGAGCAATACCCGTTTCTTTTCGATTAGACACACGGATTTCGGGGACGAAATCCCAAATAAGGGGGGGTGAACTTGTAACACCGTCCCCAAATGTATTTACTTTCAAGTAAATGATGTAATAAACCTTATGGAATGATTTACGAATTTACGAAGTTGTAAATTTTTATTATTCTTTCGCGTGAATAGTAAAGTGCACGTGGGGCCCACACCGGGAGCGGGGGCCGCCCGACATTCCCGAGACCATATACTTTATTCATCTTGGTCTAGATAATAAATATATAGTGGTGAATATTTCATTTGGACCATGGAAAGGCCCAGAGTTGACCGATTCGTCAAAAGAAGCCCAAATTACCGGTACTGGTAATTTAACAGATATCAGCCCGAAAATGAATTTCGGAGACTTCTAAATCAATGTTTTGGAATATATATTATTTCAAAAGGCCATTACGATTGAGAACACGTAATATACTTTATTTTACCCGATAAAATAAAATATGATTAAAACAGTCCGAAAAATACAACTTTCGGGACCGATTGTACACCTCGGGGCATAAAGGGATGACCTCCCACATGAGTGGGGGCCATCCCACGTTTTTTTTCAGCTTAAATGTGACTCTTGGTGGCTGGCAAGACAAAGGAAGGGTGAGGAGTCTATCAAAGGTACAATGGGGGGGTCCATTCTCACATTATTTTGAGAGAAAAGCCAAAGAGGCTATCTCTTCACTCACCCACCCCATAATTTCGACCAAGGCACACCAAGAGAACAAGGAGACCTCTGCAAACTCATCTTCCATAGCCAAAATTCGAGCTCAAGCCATAGGGTTCCAAGAAGGAAGATTAAAGAAGGAAAAAGCTAGGAAAAAGTGTGAAAATTAAGGTAATGACCTTATTATAACTTTTCCTTTATTTTTCTTCTATCATATGAGGTATATATCATATGAAGGACCCTTAGTATGATTCCACATGTTATAAGTATGGATTTATGGGTTGGAAAATGGTTCTAAGTCCAAGAACGGACTTAGAAGCCAAAACGACCGGTTCACCGGAAAATAACCTTTTTTGAGGTTATTTGTATTAACATGGGTTTTATGATTATAAAACCTTGTTAGGAACTTGTGAAAGGTATTTCAAGTGATTTCACAAAGTTGGAAAAGTCGCCGGAGTTGTCGCCGGAGTTGGCCAAAAGTCGCCGGAGTTCCACCGGAGTTCAACCAAGAAGGGTAGAACTTCATAACGCTAGTTCAAGGTGAGTGGACGGCTTAATATCTTATAACTTTTGGGTTAATTATAAGATTACCTAAATAAATGTTATAAGTGTTCATAATGATGTTTAAAAGATATTTAAACACGTGATTAGCCAACATAGATAAGTTTGTATGAAAAGAATTAATTGTTTATACATGAAACATGATATGCACAAGAATTAATGATGATATGAGAAATAATATGAAATGCATATTTGTTGGGAATGTCAAAGAAGCACAAATGATTATTATTAACTTAATTATATGATGATTAAGTTGACATGTACAAGGCTTGAATGGCGGTCAACGACAACGTTGACCGATGGACAATGGATTAATTAATGTCGGTTGATATTAGTTAATTGTACATTTATATAATTGCATGGATTTGCATGAATTGTGATACATAAGTCTTATGTATTGAATTAGTTATGAATGACTAAATATGATATAGACCCTATCTAGTGTGATATGTGGTAAGTCATAGGTCGGGTGGAGTACCCAAGGATCGGGCGGTTATCCTCAAAACTCGGTTATAGGGTGGAGAACCCAAGGATCGGGCGGTTATCCTCAAAACTCGGTTATATAGGGTGGAGTACCCAAGGATCGGGCGGTTATCCTCAAAACTCGGTTATATAGGGTGGAGTACCCAAGGATCGGGCGGTTATCCTCAAAACTCAATTATAGGGTGGAGTACCCAAGGATCGGGCGTGTATCCTCAAAACTCATAGATTACATTTAATGATCTAGGACCGGGCGGTGTCCTCATGATAATTTATTTGAACAAGGAGGAGTTCTATACACTCATAGGTATATGGGTGGGTTGGGATTTAAGTCAAGGATATTGGCTACTATTATTTTCCCAAATAAACAATGACCTACGGGTCGGGTATTTCCAAGTGTATGTATACTAATATGTATTTCAAACTTGGGGGAAAGACTATACGTATATGTATCATCCTATGTTTGGGTCTTATACTTGAAACGCTAGTTATTCTATATTTAGCCTGCTACTCGCTCGGTACTTGTACTGACCCCTTCGGGGGGCCCCACCATTTTCAGGTTGAAGCTAGGGCTTGCTACCTGCACCTTTCTACGGGTGACATCAAATCAAGGAAGACGTGGTTCGTGCTTCCTCATTTCATTTCAAATTACCAAACACTGCTCATGGATATTTTTATTTGTCATAAACTATTCTTTTGGGGCTTGCATGCCCATGTTATTGGCCGGTTGTGGCTTATGACTACCGTTGAATACTTCCGCTATTCATTGGTTTAAATGTGATGTTGTTATGTATGTTTACTGCTGAGTATGGATGGATTATTTCTCTCGAACGCCTTGTGTAATCAAGTGAGGTTGACTCGCGGGTGACGTCACTTGATTATACGGCGGTTGTACACGCGCTTGGATTGCGGTCTGGGGCGTGACAGTATATATGAAGTAGAAGACTGCTATTGCTATTGTAGGCAATTCAAGGTGGATTTGTTAGCACATACCTACTCATGTAGGAGATGGGACCTCACTGGGCTGCCATGTGGTCATGCTATTTGTTGTATTTGGAAGAGTGGAGAAGCTGTTGAGAAGTTTGTGCACAAGTGCTACACAGTGGAGTCCTATCTTAGGCCTATGAACCTGACATTGTCCCATTAATTCTTCTGAGCAGTGGCACAAATCAGGATTAGCACCACCTATTCCTCCCAAGTACAAAGCACAACCTGGCCAGCCAAAAAAGAGGAGAAGAGTTAGTGAAACTGAGATTGAGGAAGGAAGACTGAAACATAAGCTTGGTAAGTCTTGCCAAGTTAAAAAATGCAGTGTGTGTGCGGCATTGCTGGTCACAACAAATCAACATGCAAACAGAAAGCATCTCAGGTAGTTGTGTAGGTCATTTGGAGTATTTCTAAATAAAATTACTAGTTTAAATCTAATGTGAGTACTAATTTGATTTTATAAGCTAGTGAAGCGAATGTGAAATCTGAATTTACTAATGTCAGTACTACCGAAGTACCTGCTACAGTCTTGGAAGAAATGGTAATTCTACCTAAAGTTGAATGTTCAAGTTGTATTACATTATCTACTTTTAATATACCTAATACCAGTACTAATTTTTAAAATTGCAGGACCTTTTCAACTCTCAACAAAGTACCTCTATGGCAACAACTACGCTTCAAGGGAAAGGGCAACCAACAGATGAGGTGATGATTCAAGTGGGAGGGCAACGAAACAAAGTGAAAAAAGTACCAAGCCTCCCAAAAAAGAATAGAAGTCGATGGGCCGTGACAAAGAAAAAGTGATTTCCGGGAAGTGGATGATTTTTGTGTGTGAAACATATATGCTAAATTTGCATCCTATGTAATGTAGATGGCATTATATTTTTGCAGGTGATAAACACTTATGCCTAGGGGTGGGCGCGGTCCGGAACGGTCCGGTAAATTAGTAAACCCCGTAATGTATCCGTGAGGTTTGTAACGGTCCGGTACGGTCCTGTTCTAAGGATGGAACCATTCGGTACCATGTTGTTTCGGAACGGTATAAAACGGTACGGTACAATACCAAACACATGCTAAAAAATTTGGAAACATTTTGCAATTAGTAGATATCATCACACCAACCAATTAGGAATTGCTTATTTAGTACTACAATTCTACAATTCACAAATATACAAATAATGCAGCACAACTAAAAAAAGTATAGCAAATTAAAATGACGATAAACGAGATACACATCATCTTTAATTTACAAAGTTCACGTGAAATATAAAAATAAAATCATCAAATTAATGAATATAACAGAAAAAATCAATGGTCTTCATTGTTCTAGGTTAAGTATTAGTTTTATTTAAATTAATAGTTGAACCGCGGGAGCTAAGATTTAAACCATATTAATTAAGTTGTAAAATTGTACAAACGTGATACAACAAAAAGTTGTATGCACTACTTTACTAGAAATGAATAGTTATTAATGATTTCTAAAACTTTAACATTCTTTTAATACATACCAAAATATAATATAAATTATCTAAAACGAAAAAATAACAATATATATATATAAACAAACATTTAGCTATTTTAAGGACGCGTGAATACATACTTGAGCTATAAAGTTGTTGGTCTATAAAATAGATTTATTGGTATGGGGAAAATATAAAAAATTTCAATGCATTATTTTTGAACGGTTCGGTTCGGTATTTTTCGGTACTCAAATTCTAGGACCGGTCCCGTACCCGTTTCAAACGGTACGGTTCCGGTTCGGGATAAAAATTTAAAGAACCGTTTGAATACCCGGTATTCGTTTCGGTACCATTACGGGCCGGTTTGGTACGGGTTCGGTTCGGGTTTTATGCCCAGCCCTACTTATGCCATATTTCGTACAACATTACATTTTGGAGGTCATAAACACTCATGCTATATTTGGTATAACATCATATTTTCGGAGGATGTGCAAGACACTTGAATGTTGTGTAGCACCCTCATGTGTAAACACTTCTTAAACGCTTGTTTTGCCCATTATTATATGGGTGTTTAATATATGTTTATTTGGATGGGTGCAAATCAATGTGTGTTAGCCTTCTTCTTTCGATTATCATTTCGTAGAAAGTGTAAATGAAAATGTGTTTCTTTAGATTAGCATTTGGATGGGTGTAAATGAATGTGTGTTAGCCTTTTTCTTAAAATTAAGATTTGGTTGGGTGAAAATGAATGGGTGTTAGCAAGAAGGTATATGAAGTGCAAATATGTACAAGCAACAGACATTACATAAAGTGATTTTGGTATCCTTGGTTTTGTGTTATGCATAAACAACACACATTACATGAACTGAAGTAATAGACACACATTACATAAACTGATTTTGTATTGAACACTTAAAGTACAACAAAGTTAAACAATTCAATTGAAACAAACACTTGAACATAGTACGAATGGAGCCTACACCATGCTTCAATTACAAATTTCAGTCAATCCTACACTTCGAACTACCCTTCTTTGGTCTTGTCATATGGAATTGTTAATTTAAGTGTCATCTTCCCATCTTCATTCATTGTTGCTTGTGCAAACATTTCGATAAGTTGACTAAAACCACCTTTGAGATTGTCATCTACATCTCCTTCAGCTTCAATAATGGGATGTGGCTTTCATTGTTACTGCTTTCACCCAATTTCCATTTGAAGTAGTTGCATTGTGTGCAATTATAAAACATTCTCCCCTTATTCTTACCAAATTTTATTGTAATCAAGCATCTTTGAAGGCCAATTGAACACGCAAGGCACTTCTTCTTGTTAGGGCATTCATTCGGGAAATGGTCTGAACTTTTGCAACTATAGCATATCCTGTAATTTGTCAACATTTTTGTTCCTGCACAATAAATCAAGTCTTGTTCATGTCTAGTCAATTCATCCAAAACATACATATATTATCTTCTTTTGTAATTTGCAAACCCTATATCTTTTGTGGAAGTAAGAAACAAAGAAACCACAAAGACACACAAGTAGGGCAGAGCACGGGTCGGGTTCGGACGGGTCGGGTTCAAAAATGGTAAACCCGTTCGGGTATCAGTTTGATAAATTCAAACCCTACCCTATCAAAAAATTTATCAGGTTTTTCGGGTTGAAGGAATTCGGGTTGCGGTCGGGTTGCGGTCGGGTTTCGGGTCCATTCGGATATTAATTTATTAATGTTGAAATTGTGATAAATAAAATTGTAATTGGTAAAAATATCATTTAAAGTTATACTAGTATAACATTCAAAGTAATAGTTGTATAAATGTGGTAATGGACATATTTGAACATGTAAAATAATAATATACGGTGATTGACATATTTGATATTGTGATAAATAAAATGATAATTAGTCAAAATATCATTCAAAGTCATAACAATACAACATTCAAAATTATAGTTGTACAAATACGGTAATTGGAATATTTGAACATGCACAATATGGTAATTGGCATTCAATAATTGAGATATTTGAACATGCATAATAATTCAAAGTAGTTTATATTTACTACGCTAGTTCGGTTTTTCGGGCGGGTCGGGTTGCATAATTGGTAACCCTACCCGCTACCCGTTTAAGTCTCGGGTTGCAAGAATGGGGTCGGGTTTGGGTATTTCGGGTCGGGTTTTCCGACCCAAACAAAAAAATCGGATATATTCGGTCGGGTCAATCGGGTAGGGTCGGGTTTGCTCTCCCCTACACACAAGAAGAACGCAGAAGTCAAGAATACATAATTAGTATGAACCTCAATCTAAGTTACCCAAAAACGTTTGTGAATGGAGGAGCTCCCGGAAAAATCTCACGTCCGGTCGAATGAAGAAAATGAGAAATTTTGGTGCGGAAGAATGAACTTTATCTGATGGTTTGTAGTTAGATTAGAGATCTAAACCTTTAAGGAAGGGAATTTACACGTTTACCCCTGATAAAATGGAAGAATGGATGTTGTTAGTTGGACATATAACAGCGGGAACGACATTTAATGTAAGTGAGCCAACTCAAGGGTGTGATTTGAAATATATGCACTCAACGGGTATATATCTCGTATTTCGGAAAGCATGCAGGCTGATGAAAATAGTGGTGGGCCGGTTCTGGGCCGACCGGCCCGTGGCCCGGCCCGACATTGTTTTGAACCGGCCCGGTCCTGTGGCTCCGCCGGAGACCGGTTCGGGTTATACAGGTTGGTCTCGGGTCACCCAAAATAGGAATCGGCCCGGCCAGGCCCGGTTCGGGCCTATTTTTTTTTTTTTCAATTTTTTTTTTTGTTTTTCCCGAGTTGGTCTGGGTGTTTGGGGGGGGGGGGGGCGGTTGGGGGTGGGGTGGGGGGTTAATTAGAAAAGCAAAAAAATGAAGAAGCCCGGGGACCAACCCAGGAACTGTCTGATTCGGCCCGGACCCGTTGGAAACCCGGGCGGGCTCCGGGCCTGAAGCCAAACCCAAAAAACCCGCCCAGGACCGGCCTGGGACCCGTCCATGCGATCATGCCTAGATGGAAATGACAATAAAATTCTCCGTAAATGATTAATGAGGTAGGAGTGTAGGACCGTTGGAATCGCTGCTTTCTGAAACAAAGTAACAATGCCCACTACTACAAAAACTTCACTACAACACTATAATAATTACTACTACTATCATCATCATCATACTATATACAACTACTATAATAATACGAGTAGTTACTTTCTTCATCATTATGGAAATACCCTTTTAACGGCTTATTGCCAACAAAGCATCTAATCTTGTTTACTAATTTGCAGTAAAAAAAAACTTCTCATTAATTATGTTGAGTCCATGACTACTTGATCAGCAGCAACAATTGGTCCAAGATCTTTCACAAATGTCCTCAGGCAACCATTGATTATACGCGGGGCAGCCCCATCACAGAACCGTTTTGCAAGATCCACTGCCTTAGAAGACAAGAAGTTTCTGGTTAATTAATTAAAATAAAAATAAAATCAACTACTGCGTATAAAACCCAAAAAGAAAATCAAATGGGTAAAAACACGAGCAATTGTCATGTTATCTAGTTGGCACCCATCTAACGTCTAGTTAGAACACTGGTAATACGTATCAATTCATATTTTGTTGTGCAACGTAATACTTCGTATATTTTATGAACGGTGTCATTCTAGCAACAAGAGCATCCATCGTGTTTAAATAATCATTCTATTCAGAAATGTCTTCTTTTTTGCAAGCCTTTTAAATGATTATTGTGTATGCATATTAAAGTAAAGAAGGTTGAAGCAGGAACGTAAAATCAGATGTGGGTACAAAGTGACAATGTGACATGCAGTTACGCTAAGGCAAAGTGCGCAAGAGAAATTACCTCATTGATGACTATTTGGTGTCTAGTTCCTAACACTGCTATTTCAGCCATTGCCAAATGAAGAATTGAAAATTCCAATATTCTCCCAGCTGGTTCACTCTGGAATAAGGAGAGCAATAAGGTTCAATGACTATAAGTCTAATACAGGGTATCATCTAATTTCTTTCTAATCCTAAAGACACTGTGTGAGAAAAGGAGGATACACGTATGTATCTTCAGGAAATTAAATTATAAGTACAAAAATCATGACAAATGAGTAAATGGCTAATTGGGAGAAGGATAATGAAAAGTTGAAAATTTCAGCCATTTTTTCTTTGGAAGTTCTTGAGGTGTAAGGCTTAAAGTCATAGCAAACAATTGATTTCAAATTGTCCATTGTCTAATTTTTACAAGCAACAATTATGAGAACATATTCCTAAAGGTACCAAGGGAGAACCATCAAAAAACAGAATGATGTTTATATTCAGACCTGAAAGTCCAAATAAGCTACCCTTTGTCCCAAAATGAAGAACCCTATTTGAACCAAATAACCTAGCTTCCAATCCCTTCCATTAAATTTCATGGTTTTTAAAAAAAGTGTCCAAAACAAGTTTAGTATGTTAAACTTACTTAAACCAACATATATAAATTTTAAACTAGTTAGAATTAGTTACTTCAATAGTTGTACCTTACTCGAAGTAAGATGTTCTGAGCGAAATGTGAACACAACACCTCTTGCTCTTGCAGTCTCAAAATAAACT